GATTAATTAATTATAGTGGTCCCTCCAAGTGGATAAGTCAAAACATTTTTTCAGATATAGGTAAGACTGAAAAAGAAGTACAATTCTTTTCACAAATCTGTGATTAATTGATCATTAAAAACACTGTTATTTTTGTTAAGATTATGTACAAAAGATGAGCTTCCCACCTCTGTTTCACCTTCCTTTTATACAGAAGCAGAAGACCATGATGATGATGATGATTTTTTAAAATAATAATATTAATAAAGTTGGAAGGGACCCTACACCATTTCTGACAAATGGCTGTCCAGTCTCTTCTTAAAAACTTCCAGTGTTGGAACATTCACCACTTCTGGAGGCAGGTTGTTCCATTGGTTAATTGTTCTAACTGTTGGGAAGTTTCTCCTTAGTTCTAAGTTGCTTCTCTCCTTGATCAGTTTCCATCCATTGCTTCTTGTCCTGCCTTCAGGTGCCTTGGAGAATAGCTTGACTCCCTCTTCTTTGTGGCAGCCCTTGAGATATTGGAACACTGCTATCATGTCCCCCCTCGTCCTTCTCTTCGTTAAACTAGACATACCCAATTCCAGCAACCATTCCTTATATGTTTTAGCCTCCAGTCCCCTAACCATCTTTGTTGCTCTTCTCTGTACTCTTTCTAGAGTCTCAGCATCTTTTTTACATTGTGCTGACCAAAACTGGATGCAGTATTCCAAGTGTGGCCTTACCATGGCATTGTAAAGTGGTATTAATACTTCCTGTGATCTTGAGTCTATCCCTCTGTTAATGCAGCCCAGCACTGTGATGATGATGATGATGGTGTAATGTAATGTAATTCTTTCCTCCTCCACACTGTGGATCCCAATCCCTAACCATCACACCTACAATATCATGGTGATAAGCAGTTCTTCAGTTCTGAAGAGAAGATATGGTTGGATCTATCACATACCAACCTACTATCACACTCAATTTACCTACAGAAAAACATACAAACAAACCTGAGGGACTTTGTAGGTGCCTCCTAATGTTGACATCTCAGTGGAGATATCTTCAGGAGCTGCATCAATAAGAATCAAAATGTTGCCTTTCCTTCCACAGCTGTAGTTGGGAACATTGGCTTCTCCAGTAGACAGCATGTCCAGCAAGGCATCTGAAGTCCCAAGTGTGTTCAAATAGTTGTCATGGATGTTATAGCCAAGTGTGAGATTTTGCATAACCCAGAGAGTTTTGCTGACCATTTGAATATTAAAAATGTAGCGTAGTATTCTTAACTTATCAAAAGGTAAACTAAGATAAAAATGTTCATATTAATATCAGCATCATCAACAGCAATAACAAAATACTTTTTCAATTTAATCCCCTTTGTCTCCACAAGCCTTCTGAGTCTTAAGCCAATACTGAACGAAAACCAGATGTCATGGTTCTGACAGATGAATCTCTTCAAAAGAACTTCAAGGCATTGTTTTCCTTAAATAATTTTTTATTCGAGAAACAAAGTATTGGCACTACATAGTTAAAGCCAAAAACTGAATTCCCTTCCCCTGGCACAAAGTAGCAAAGCTCAATTCCTTTCTCCAATTAACAGTCATAAATCACATTTCCCAATTAACTTGAAGCGTGGGCTTTCTCCCCATCTCTCCTGCCCACCAAATTTCTATCAACTCTGGACCTAATAACCTTGGGATCCCACGGCTGAGTTATTATTGTTATGACTAGCTGGACTCTCATCCACATTCCCCCTCCCAGCATCAATGAACTCTAAAAGCGATAGAGAAAAGATGGATACATTTCCATCTGTTGTCAAAGCAAGAACATCTGATGTCAGTAGCATTGATACCAGAGGCAAATGGTAGTAACCCAACACCATTTCATTTGAATGGGTTTTGGGGACATGGAATGGAGATAGTTTTCTACTTAGTTTAAGAATCACAAAGAAACCACTATTTATAGCAGTACTAATTTTCATCTGCCTAGTAACCAGGATTCAAAATAATTCAATCATTTTTTTAATTGAATTTTTTTTATTTTTAACATACAAACATTTATAAAAAATACAATAAAATTTTAAAGTAAGAAAACCCCCCTTACCCTCCCTCCCACCCCCAACCCCCCTCCCTTCACTTCCCAGAGCAGAATACAGGGTTAATAATAACAAAATTTATAATAATTAAAAAGAAAAAGAAAAAAAGAAAAGAGAAAAAAATTATCATAATTAACCTTTAACTCCATAACCTATAAAACAATTCTCTATAATATTTAATATTCATTCATAAAATAAATGAAACTTTTTAATTTCATACTTTTTCTGAATATAATCTATCCACCTTCCCCATACAATAATATATCTTTCTTGTGTATGATCCTTTAAATAAGCAGAATTTTTTGCTATTTCTGCAAAACTAGATACTTTAAATATCCATTCTTCTAAAGTAGGCAAGGAATCTTTCTTCCAATATAAACCAGGATTCAAAATAATTCAATCATTAAAGTAGAACCGTCATAATGGGAAGAGGATATTTCATAAGTGACATCAGTCTCTATTCCTATAAGGATCAGACATTGAAAGTGAGTAATTATTTAAAAAAATGAAATGGGCTGGGCAGACGCAACTGCAACCCATTTAAACCAAATTGAATTTAAGTGTGAAAGATATATATTCTGGACTATTTTTTTCTCCCCCTCCATCTTGTGTCTGAGTTCTTTTTTTTCTAGAAAATAAGACAAAAGAGAGAAGCAATAGAAATCAAAATGTTTAAACAGGTCATGCAATATTGGCATAAGAAAAGAAAGAAAGTGTTAAAACGGTGAATGAAAAGAATGCAACTCCATCACTCAGAACGACTTACTAGCTAGGCTGACTAGAAGGAGACATGTTGAAAGATAATGTTGGTGTATGCAGTATTTTTGTTCCAGTGGTGATCATACTAATGAGATGATCTCCTGGCCTGTAATAGCTCCATTGTTTTTTTCCATCCTGGTGCTCAAAGCTCAACAGGCACTTCATTCTCGGCTTCCCAGAGACTGGCAGGGACACCAGCATCATTAGAACCAGAAGCAGGAAGTCCATAATTCATAGGCTTGAATCAATCTCCTTCCTGTTTCTAAACAAGAACAACAAGAAAAGTTAGATGAATTCAAAGCACTCTCACAAATTGGAATATCTAGTGGCTTTCCTGAGTCAGATAGAGACAAACTGAGCTGCATCTGGAAAGGAGAGAAAGGTACATGCAAGAGCAAAATCTCTACCTATCCCTTATCTTGTGCCTCACAGAGCATGATCTGAGGCATTTATCTTTTTCTGATGCAAGATCCTTTCCTTGTTTCTTCAGTCTTGATGTTTACCTCAGAGGCAGTCACTGGAGAAGTAGCAGAAGAGGTACCAAAGAACAGAATTGTGAAAATTACAATGAGAAGCAACTTCTTCTCTAGGGATCCTAAACATCTTAGGGGTTCCATTTACAGAGGAGTAGCTGGAGAAAAGCATGATAGTGAGAAAACCACAGATATATCCCTGGGGACACTGTTCTGTAATGGTTTTGGTCGTTCCTGTCATGACAGAAAGTGATAGTGGAGGAAGATAGTTCAACCTCTAAATAATGACTTTTGGTGTCCTTCTCTGTGGTATCTTCTGTTCAGTGACCACTGGAAAAAATATCAGCCAGAGCAATGAAGCAATGGCATTTTAGTTTGGTGGCCTTTAACCCTAGTGCTGCCTGTCTTTTAACGCCAATTAAGTAATCGATAACCTTGAACCCTGTCTAATGTTCAGAGTAGGATTTACTTGGGATTTTCTTTTCTATGAGATCTCTATATCTGAATCCTAATTGGAGCTGATTTGAAAATTACTTGTGGCTGTGGTGAAATTTTATTTCTCATCTTTTCTAGAAATATCAGTTTTTGGATCAGATTTGATTAAGAACTTGAGGATGAGCCGAAGTGGCGCAGAAGTTAGAGTGCAATACTGCAGGCCACTTTAGCTGACTATGTTCAGCAGGTCAGCAGTTCAAATCTCACCAGCTCAAGGTTGACTCAGCCTTCCATCCTTCCGAGGTAGGTAAAATGAGGACCCAGATTGTTGGGGGCAATGTAAATATATATATACATTGCTTACTGGTGTACACTGCTTAGAGAGTGCTTGCACTTAAAGCAGTATATAAGTCTCATAAATAAATAAATAAATAAATAAATAAATAAATAAATAAATAAATGACAGACAGCCTGTGGACTATACCAGTTGCTTAATAGGGAGAAAGTTATAAAGTAGATTGAAGTTTTTATTTATTTTTTTCTTGTTGCTCTCTCTGTTGTTCTTCCATATTTGTATAAGCACTGAGAAAGTTTATATTTTGAAGTTTTTTTTTATTTTACTAAACATACAGAGGGCTGTGAGGTCTACAGCTGTGATGGTGGCAATTCACACAGCATGGTCCATGGTGTGACATGTTTTCTTGCCACATCCTCCCTGAAACTGGTTTAGGGAGACTTTGTATTCCCTCTTCTATGTTTGTAGAAGTAGTTGGTGTGGTGGTGCCCCTTTGGCCTGCCCTTCTTTGAGAATGTGTGTGAATCCTCCCCTCCTGCTCAAAGATTGCCAAGTGTTTGGTAGATGTGGTTGGAAGTCCCTGTGTTCCTGATGTCCCTGGGTCAGTTTTTCTCTTGGGATTACTATTCACATCTGGAGAAGGAGGACATTGCTATATATACCCTGGCCAGTAAGAGTTAACTGGGGATTTGAGTGAGAGAGGGAAGATGACAGGAAAGGTAGAAGCATTCTGACTGTAACAGATAGAAGATGGGTCATACTTGGTGACATCTGATCTGCATCTCAAAAGTTGTCCCACTGCATGGCCTTTGGCTTTTATGCTCAGTTCCTGGCTACCAGATCCATTGTGGCTCCAGGTTCAAGCTGTTGCATTTGAATGTCAGGTTGATGCCTAATAATGTTGCTTTGATTGTATCTGCTGGTCCAGGTAAGGCCTTAGTCCTGACTGCAATGGGCAGGTGGATACAGTCTTGGATCCTACCTCCATTCTTTGAAAATGCTGTGCTGTACTTCGGTTTATGGTGAAGCTCCAGAAGATGAAATACCTGAAGGGTGACGGGAGAATATTGGAGGAAAACCTGAAGAGAATTTGACCAAACACATGTAAGAGCCCATATTAGGAATCACCTCATGGTAATAAGGGTAATGAAATAGCAATATTTTCCCATCCTCATTGTGTTTTCTGTTAGCCATGCAGCAGCCATATTTAAGCATCTCCCTTACTGGTTAGGGAGAGCCCCTCAGAACATCTGCCAAGTCTCTGAGAAGATTATTCAGGCTATCTGAAGGATAAAATTGCTCAGATTTGCCCTGATCTGGGCAGGAAAGATCAGAGTGCCTGGGGCAAGCTCTGGTGGTGTGAACTGAGAGGAGTTTGAGTTGGTGACACCTAAGGAAATGGACAAGGTTCCCTGTGAATTCCTGAAGACCCCCACAGTTCTGTTTTTTTAAGGGTTTTCAACACTTCACTCCTCACCTGGGACATTCTTGAGATGAACGATGACCTTTCCTGCATTGTGTGGATTTCTTTTTGGTTCCTACCCAGGATTTTGTTATCTTTGCAATCTTCTTCATAATCTCTTACAGTTCTGATTGTTGTTTTTAAATGTCTGAATGTGTGAAACATTGTGAAGTCATTGAGTGATGGGCAAGTTCTAAATTTAAAAATAATTAAATAAAGTTATAAGCCTCTCCAACTCCATTATGACAATGCCCAGCATATTTTCTTAAAATAATTTGAAAACAAAAGAGCAGCAGATATTTAAGTAAATACACTCCACAAAGGTTGAAAGCAGCCATAGTACACACAAGGGGTCAGAGAACCGCTCTAATATAATATCTGGGGATACGGTCAAAATTTAAATGGTCTTTTAAAGAAGATCTGCATCAACAAGCAGTGGACAAAGGGCAGAGCCTAAACAGAAATGTGAGGAACACTGGGATAATACATTTATAAGCCTTGATATTAAATTGAAGCAACCCAACAGATCTAAAGCTGAGCATGTGCAACAAAAACTAGGTGAACAAGAGGCATGCTAATCCTGATGTGCTCCTGGATGACTCTTATTGGTTCTCCTTGATCCAGATTTTGGGCAGGAATCTCGTCTTTTCTACTCTGCAAATTACATGCATGCTGAAGAATGATCCTCTCTAAATATGACTGATAGAATAATCAATAAATATTACTACATGGAGTGTATTTGAAGAGAATACAACATAACTTTGTGTTTTATCAGTAGAGATCTGGAATATGGAAAGAAATTGATGACCCCAATTTTAAATTACCAGAATAATGGAAGGGACCTTGGAGGTCATCTAGTCCAACCCCCTGCTCAGGCAGGAAGCCCTACACCATTTCAGACAAATTGTTGTCCAATCTCTTCTTAAAAGCCTTCAGGGTTGGAGCACCTACAACTTATGGATGTAAATCGTTCCACTGATTAAGTTTGATTAAATTTGTACTGTTTTCCAACATGGACTCTAAGTTAAAAGGATTAATTTTATGCCATCTTTGGTACTGGATGGGGTTGCTCTGCCAACAGACCTGGTGAGAAATCTGGCAACTCTTCAAGACTCATAACTCCTATATATATATATATATATACATTGCTTACTGGGGTACACCTCAAGCAGGAGTTATGAGTCTTGAAGAGTTGCCAGATTTCTCACCAGGTCTATACTTACACATATTTACATTGCCCCCAACAATCTGGGTCCTCATTTTACCTACCCCGGAAAGATGGAAGGCTGAGTCAACCGTGAGCCGGTGAGATTTGAACCGCTGACCTGCTGAACACAGTCAGCTAAAGTGGCCTGCAGTACTGCACTCTAACTGCTGCACCACCTCATTGGTCTTCACAGTTAGGTTGGTCTTTGCATAGCTTTGTGCTGTGTTCCTTTTACACCTGTCCCTGTAAGCAGATAGCAGCAGACAGGATTGTAATTGAAACGTATGGCAGAGAACTCTTCTCTGAAAAATGTGGATACAGTCCAAGGAATGATAGCAAAGTCCAAATGCATTCTAAAATTCACAGAATGCAAAATCAAGTAGTCAGCCAGTCCAAGAGACAAAGGGTCATGGACAGAAAACAGGAACAAGAAGCACGAACAAAAAGCGGAGTGGAATGTCAAAGGGTTGTCTCCAGCAAAGACTATTCTGTCAACAGGTAAGCTGGTTGCAATTATTCATGAATTGCCCTTTGGTTAGAGAAGAGCCTATTGAGGAATGTTATTATGCTCACCTTTGTGTGGCTGTATTCCTTGTCATCTGACTACTCCAGCTGAACAGTATATGCCTCCCCTGCCTGATTTCTAGTACTTGTACAGCTACTACTTTGTCCTTGGAGAATGACCATCAGTTAGTTGTAGAATGATGCTTAGGAATACCTGTCAATCAGGCATAGGAACCTGGAGACTTTGCCTTCCCGGGACTTCCTGTGTTGGGATTCCAAGTAATTAGACATTTGTAATATGTGATACAACAGAAAGCAAGGGATCAAAGAATAAAAGACATTGATTACATGTGAGACTTCAACAATGAGAAACTTTGATTTTAGATAATCTTCCATAAGTGACAAATTTATGGGTTACATTAGACTTTCCCAGCAGTGTTTGCAACTAACTTAAAAGGAGCCGAGGTGGCGCAGCAGTTAGGGTGCAGTACTGCAGGCCACTTTAGCTGACTGTGTTCAGCAGGTCAGCGGTTCAAATCTCACCGGCTCAAGGTTGACTCAGCCTTCCATCCTTCCGAGGTAGGTAAAATGAGGACCCAGATTGTTGGGGGCAATGTAAATATATATATACATTGCTTACTGGTGTACACCGCTTAGAGAGTGCTTGCACTTAAAGCGGTATATAAGTCTCATAAATAAATAAATAAATAAATAAAACCTGCGTGTATTCAGGTGGGTTCAAGTCCATTTATAGGGTAGAGAAACAAATGAGCCATAAAGTTTATTTGGTGTATGTAATACAACAGAAAGCAAATGATTAAAGTCAATTTTATTGTTAATATTTTTTATTTCAATATTGAATGTTTTATCTTGTTTCTTCTTGATTGCAAGCCATGTAGAGTCATCTCTTGTCAAGATGTGCAGTGTATAAATAAACAAGAAAAATAAAATGAAAAGAATTAATTACGTATTCAAATTACATTAAACAGTGTAAAGTGTTGATTTTAAATAACATTCCACCCTTTTGAAATTAAGGCCAGTGGTATGACTGGTTGGAGACTAGAAATAATAGAGGAGAATAAATATGGAAAGGTCAAAAGTGAAAATATGTGTATAATAATAATAATAATAATAATAATAATAATAATAATAATATGAATTATTCTTAGTAAGAAGCAGAATATGAAGGAAGAAAAATGTAAATAAGAAACAACGTGGCAATAAGGACAAATAATCTAAAGAAGAATAAGGGGGGAAATGTAAATAATAGAAGATTACTGTTACGTAATTGCTGTTAAAAAAGGGGGGAGGAGTATATACAGTGTGTGTATGTGTGTTATGTTTTGTTTAGATTTGTTTTGTTTTGTTGGTTAAAAATATAAAAATAAAAATAAATAAAAAAAGAAAGATCCATACTTTTGATTGGGTGAATAGTATTAAGATCAAAATACACTAGAACTCTTAATACCTCTGGAAACAATTATGTCAATTAGAAAGTTACAAAGTGTAATATGTAATAAAAGATCTGACCCTTTTTCAGATGCTAAAAAAAGAAAAGAAATTAAGGCCAGTCCACTCACACATGATTCCAAAACCTCTGAGCATTTATCAGATTCTATCGTGTGTCTGCTAATAACTCTCTGCTAATAACTTAGCTGAGGTGTGCAGGAAAAAAAACACCACTGTAGTAATAGGGGACTTTAAAGACCCTGACATCAACTGGGAAACAAACTCTTCAGGGAGCATGATGTCAACTTTATCATTCAAACAGTAGACAAGAGAACTAGAGGGACAGCTATACTGGACTTAATCCTTACTAATAGGGATGAAAAGGAGTAGAAGTTACAGGAACTTTGGGGGAGAGTGACCATAGCCTATTTCTTGATAAGATAGAACAATGTGAGTTAGACAGCTCAACCACCAGATAGATTTGCAATTGCTGACCAACCACACTCAGCATGGAGTTCTTAATGGAGCCCTGGAAGAAGTTCAGATGCCCCAGGGGACAAATTGCTTCTCACTGTCATTATCACCATCTGGGTGTTTGAGACCTCTTCTGCTACTTCTCCAGTAAGTGCTTTTGATGTCAACTTCAGATTGGAAGAACAAGGAAGGGATCTTTTATCAGAAAATAATAAATGCCTCAGGTCATGCTCTGTGGACACAAGTTCTGGGACAGGCAGGGACTGTGCTCTTCAATCTACTTTCTCCTTTACAGATGAATCTTGGTTTCTCTCTTTTTGAATCAAGAAAACCACTGCATTTCTATCTTATGAGAGCTTTGAATTCTTCTAGCTCTTTTTTATTTTTATTTACAACAGGAAAGAAATTGATTCAGCCCCATGAATAATGGCCCTCCTGCTTCTGCTTCTGCTTCTGCTGGTGCCCCAACCAGTCTCTGGGAAGCTTAGAAGGAAGTGCCTCCTGTCTTTCAAGAACCAAGGTGAAAAAAAACCATGGAGCTATTACAGGCCAGGAGACCATCTCATTAGTATAGTTGTCACTGCATCAAAATTATCAGATATAATGTTGCCTTTCAACGTGGCTCCATGTCATCAGTCTCAATCGTAAGTCATTATTTATGAAGTAGTTGCATTCCCTCTATTTGCAATTCTGACTTTTTTTTCTTTTCTTATTTTGCTTGCTCTTATGTTACAGAATTGATCAAATTTCTTGAATTGATTTAATTTCCATGTCTTATTATGTGGAAGAGACTCAAATCCCAAGATGGGACAGAAAATACTTGAAAGAAGTTTAGATTATTTCCCTCTCTCCATCCAATCCTAAATCAATCAATTGAATAGTGACTTTTGTTTAAAGATGTGATTGAAATGGTTGTAATTAACCTGGAACAGCCCATTTTCATATAGTTCAAACTGCTCATTGATAATCAATTCCTAATCTTTATAAGAATAAAGAATGACTTGTTTTAGAGTTGCTTTTTTGGGTCATTTATGAAACAGCCTCTTCTTTTTGTGATGGTTCTACTTTAGTGATTGAATTATGTTGATTGGTTATTGGGCAAATGAAAATTAGTACTGCTCTAACTAATGGTTTATTTGTGATTTTTAACCCTGGTGGAGGACTATTTCCATCCCATATTCTTAACACTAATAAATATTAAGTTATGATGAGTGACTATCTTTAGTGCCTGATTTTGGATCAGTATTGACTCAGTAGGCTTATGGAAACAAAGGGGATTATATTGAAAAAAAATATTTTGGTATTTCTATTGTTGATGATGGTAATAACATGAGCACTTTTTTTTACAGTACTTTATCTTACGATGCATCAAAAATTCCATGCTTCATTTTCAACTTTGAAGTAGTCAACAGGAATCCCCAACTCCTCCACAATCTCACATTGGGTTATAATATCCATGACAAATATTTTAATACATTTGGCACTTCAGAAGCCTTGCTGGACATACTCTCTACTGGAGAAGCCAATGTTCCCAACTACAGTTGTGGAAGGAAAGACAATCTTTTGTCTCTTCTTGATGCAGCTAAAAGGGACATCTCCACCCAGATGTCAACATTAGTAGGCCCTTACAAAGTCTCACAGGTTTTTATGTGTTTCTCCATGTGGTAATGTGAGTGTGATGGTGGTGTCTGTGAGCAATAGATATCTTATCTATGGAATTCAAGAGCTGATTCTTACCGTGGGCATTGGGAGTGTCATAGCTGGAGATTGGGATGCTCAGTAGAGAGGAAGCAAGGATCAGAACAGACATATCCTCTCATGACACCATCATCATTGCTTTAGGGGCTTCTTCTATATACCTGTGATGGTGAAGAAAGGCTTTGTGTTCCATCAAAAAGTCTTCTCTAAAAACTATGCTGCAGTAGTGATGGGAACCTGATATTTGGTACATGATATCAGCCAAAAGAATGATATTTACAATGGTGTACAAATCTCAGATTCATGAAAAGAATCCCAATAGATTTATCTTACCTACAACTGATAATACATACAGTATATGTCTTATGGAATTATAGGGACCAGAGAATTAACTAACCACCTTATTAAAAAAAAAATATTAGTCAACATGTCAATTCCCCCCCCCCATATGTTCATTATCAAATTAATCATAAAAGGTTCGAAGATCAATAAGGCCCCTGCAGAGTACTGACTACTGTCTGAACTATTCAAAGCATATCCCAGTTAGTGGGACCCTTTATTGGCAATTCATTTATAGATATAAAATATAACTGCTACATCCAGTTGGGTGGAAGATGGCAGTGGTAGCTTCTATTTATCTATAAAAAGAAAATAAAAAGGAACTAGAAGTTACAGAGCCAAAAAAAAAAAAAAACTTTTGCTGCCTTTATAAATGTTAGTGCAGCATTTGATATAATAAATAGAAATATTATGGAGTAAATTGATTGCCCTTACAATGAAACACAGACTGTTGGTACTGATCAAAGCTTGTTACCTGTTTGAGATTGTGGTTTGAGCTCAACGGAGCCATGAGAAGAAGGATCAATCCTTAACAATGACAATTTTTTATTAAGTCTAGATATTAATAACTTACCAGGATTGATGAAACATTCTGACATACAGATGTCTAAGGCACATTGTAACACCCTGTTATATGCCAACAATATATTATTATCCTATTTGCATGTTGGGTTGTATAGGCTGTTAAGAAGACTTGGCTCCTATCCTCATAATAATTGTCTGTATTAATAAATCAAAATTAAGAGTTCTGGTCTAAATGGTTATTGTGAGATTGAAAAGCAAGTTAACACATTTCCTTACCTGAGGTACTTTATGTCTTAGACTGGATCTTGGCTTCCTTATCAAAGTAGCTCATTTAAAGAAAGGACATGAATTAATTTACTACTATTTTTTTAAAAAAAAATCAGATTTATTCAGCTTCCATATATTAATGTATTTATAATAATAGTAGTAGTAGTAGTAGTAGTAGTAGTAGTAGTAGTAGTAGTAGTAGTAGTACTAGTAAAGTTGGAAGGGACCTTGGAGGTCATCTAGTCCAACCCCCTGCTCAGACAGGAAACCCTACACCATTTCGGACAAATAGCTGTCCAGTCTCTTCTTAAAAACTTCCAGTACTGGAGCATTCACTGCTTCTGGAGGCAGGTTGTTCCACTGGTTAATTGTTTTAACCGTCAGGAAGTTTCTCTTTAGTTCTAGGTTGCTTCTCTCCTTGACTAGTTTCCATCCGTTGCTTCTTGTCCTGCCCTCAGGCGCTTTGGAGAATAGCTTGATTCTCTCTTCTTTATGGCAGCCCCTGAGATAAAGAAGAGAAGAAACTAATTTTAATGTTAAAATTATCCCCAAGCTCTTATATCAAGCTGATGTTTGGGATTTAAGATATATATCACAACTAGAACAATCCCAAGTACAACATCTCACAATTATCTCGGGAATGGATAAAACAACTTAGGTTTCTGCTCTCAAACATGATTTGGGAATTTATACAATTTGTTTTTTTCTAAAATCATGGCATATAATTGTTGTAAAATTAAACTATTGCAACTGACAAACTTCCCATATAGTATCTGTTTTGAACAAAATTTCAATTACAGATCTATTGAATTGCACAACTGACATTATTATCTAAAGGAGCTGTGGTCTCCCTGTCTCCTGTACAACTGGAGAAGAAGCTAAAAGGATTTCTGCACAAAAAAATTGAAATATCGAAGCAGAAAAAGATATTGCCATCTTCAGTATGGTTGGCACAATTAAATGGATGAGTGCTATAAATGTATCTTCCCAATTGTCATATATATTTAAATCAATAATGCCTGAATATCTTTGGGTAGTGTTTACTCGAGCAAGATTTGAGCAGCTAGACACAATGGCTAATTTTGGCAGATTTAATGAAGTCTCTTATAATGAATAGAATTGAATTTGTGAAGTTCAAAAGAAGACATAACTAATCTATTAGTTGAATATCAATTGTAACAAATGTAACAGATTTATTATTTAATATTGTATAAGAAAGAGAGAGAATGATATCTTAGACTGCACATTAGATATACAATGTATTGGGATTCTTATAATAAAAAAACATATATCCTGTGTAGTCAGAACTCAAAAAAATGCATACAATATGGTCCCTTATTTCAACAAAATAGTTCAGCTGAGATCTGTGTATGGGTATCATTCTGGTAAATAGTAAGAATGATACAGAAATATGATTTGCATTCTTTGTTCATTTTCCTTTTTCATTTGTTTTTTTATTTATTTATTTATACCTTATACAGATGCTTGTTAATGTTCTGTGCTTTATATTCTGTATTTTAATACTGCCTAATAACTAATTAGATATAAATAATTGTAATATGTTCATGAGAACCTACAGTATTAGGATTTATTTTAAAAAAACAATATTTTGGATTTGATCTGTTCTCATATATAACACAATTTTTTTCATTGCTTTTTCAGATTAGTTATGGTTTTGTTTCTGAGGCACTGAGTGATAAAGGTCAATTCCCTTTTTTCCACCGAATGCACCCAAAACAAGGGATCCAGTACCCAGCAATTGTCCCACTGCTCCTCCATTTCAGATGGACCATGATTGGTCTCTTTGCTGCAGATACAGAAAATGGAGAGAATTTCATCAGGACTTTGACTCCTGTGCTTGTCAGGAATGGAATTTGTGTTGTTCTATCACAACAGTTCTCAACAACTGGAGATACAGCACCCCTCAAGGATGCCCTTTCTAAGTGGAGACAAGTCAATGTCTTTGTTCACTTCATAGAACATCCTTCTTTTTTGGATAGACTTCTTTATTTTCATTTACCATTGGAAAGTTTGCCAGGACCTGTTCAAAGGAAAGTCTGGATCATGACACTCTTTTGGCATTCAGAAATTCAATACTACTCTCTTTTCAAATTTGTCCATAGTATTTGGACCTTTGCTTTTCAGAAGAAAAAAAAGGATAAAGATGACAACTTTGAACCCAATATTTTTGTGCAACACCAATTTGCAGATCAGTCCTTTCACTGTTCTTTTTCAAAGCACGTCTTTTCTGTGAAAGACAGGAGAAGATGCACCCAAAAAACGCCCCTGGAGACCCAAAAGAAAAAGAATAGTAAATGGATCTCAAATGACCATGAGGTTTACACTGTCATTAAGACTCTGGTCTATGTCTTGAATGCTGCATATTCCTCCAGATCCAGGAAGAGGAAGGATGGCAAATATAGGTTAGCAGATCCAAGGCTGCAGCCATGGCAGGTATGGAGTCTTGACAAGGATGATGCCAATGCTGCTAGTATTGTACATTCTTGCTTTGATAAAATATGCTGAACTGTCTGGTACTTTTAGAGTTAATTCAGAGGCGAGTGAGGGAGGAGGGAAAAACCCGCGAAAGAAGATGGAAGGGAATCTTTGCCCTTCAAACTAATTGGAGAACATAAATCATGACAGCAAAATAAGGGGAGGGAAATGCTAGCAAAATAACTGCTGGGTGGGTGGGGATTTCAGATCTTAGCATTCCATTCACCATGCCTGTGCCGACATTTTGTCACATAAATAAAAATACTTTTTAAGGATAAAATGCCTGGAAGTTCTTTGAAGTGTTTCATTAGTCGGAACCATTATAGATCCATCCAATGTAATTCCTTTTGAAAAGGATTCCAAAGTGTAAGGAGGAGAACCACCTCAACCTACCAGTGCTAAGAAAGGTCCACGTGGCAATATGGAGGTTGTGGGGGGGAGAGACATACTGCCTAGAAATGATGAGTGGGGGAGCCTTACAATAAAGTAAAATTAGCTCACCTGGTCATATTTCCCATCCTGTTACTTGGGAGAAGATTAGCCTGGGAATTTTCTCCTTGACAAATCCATGCTTTCTGGCAATCACAATGTTGTCCTGAAGAGTTTATAAATAATCTCAATATTTGTTGGTTGAATGTATTCATGACTTGCTCTACAACAGTGGTGGTGAACCTATGGCACGTGTGCCAGAGGCGGCACTCAGAGCCCTCTCTGTGGGCACTTCTCTGAATTGCTGGTGGTGGGCTGCGGAGCCCCAGAGTGCACCGGTTGAGGGGCCAGCAGGCTGTGGCTGCTGACGGACACTGTTGGCCCCCATGCACTTGCTGGCCTCTGTGTGCAGGGGCCGGTGGTGTCAGGCAGCAGCCGCCCCGGCCCCTGCCTTGCCTTGCCCTGAGATAATGGTACCCTTGCCCTGCCTCGCCTCACCCCACAGGACGAGCCTCCTACCCCCCATCCCACCTACCAGAGACTCCCTGGATCTCCCCCAACCCTGCCCGCCCCCCCACAGGCATCCCTCCTCATGAGCAACATCGAGGTGACCATGCCCACCTTGGCCACACCCACCCAGTCTGTCATGACCACCAAAGCCATGCCCACCCAGTGGCCCACGCCCACCTGGCACCCGGCAATAAATAACTGGGTTTGGGGTTGCAGTTTGGGCACTCGGTCTCTAAAAGGTTCGCCATCACTGCTCTACATTGTTCCCTATGAGTGAAAAAATTGGTCAGTTGTATTTTGTCAATATATATTTTGTCACTATACAATCGACAAATATTGCTGAACTTTGTTTTTCACTTTTGAGGATAGTGATAACATTTGTTCTCCCTAAGAAGAATATTTACTAGTTTTAAAAAATATAGAAGAAAGATTCAAATATGAAAAGACCATTATGGATGAAGAAATCAAGTCTTCTTCTTTTAAAATAACTGGATATCTTCATTCTAGTTCCATCCCTTTCTGGAGAAGAATGAGTTTTGCAATATTTCCAAGATGAAACTGTACTTGGACCAAAATGGAGATGTAGCAGCAGATCTGAACATCATAAGCTGGGTGGTTGTCCCAAGGAAGAATACCATCAAAGAATTACTGGGGAATTTTGAAAGACAGAGACTTTTTATCAACCAAGATGTTCTATCACGACTAAATTTGCTCAACAACGTGGGTGAAATATTGCAGTATTTTCTTCTGTTTTCCAAAGTCTTAGGATCCATTTCAAGCGGGCTAAGTCTAATCGACATGGTGGATGATCTTTACTGAGAATTCGGTGTGGGGACTAGAATTCTTACAATTTTCTCTGATTACTTTAGGACTATTGGCCATGGTGCCCTTTAGATGCTAAAATATGGAACATAGTTTCATGCTCATTTAGTCACGTCAACATGAATGTTATTATTTTTTTAGGGTCCAGATCATGGCCCTTTTGTGTTCCTTCTACAATTTAGTATTTCTGTAAAAGTGGTGAGAGAGGCTTTCAAATGCTGGGGATTGTGTTTACTTGTTCCTTGTTCTCAAAGAGCAAAACAGCAGGCTATTCTCTGCCCAAATTCACGTTTGGACTGAATCTGATAAATTCCAAACAAGACTGAATGGAGGTCCTGTTGGTTCCAGTGGGAAATAAGCATTATCTTTTCCTGACTGGGGACAATCAACTAAGCAATCCACAGCTGGCCAGAGTTATCCTTGCCCTCATCCAGAATACTGAATTTCTGAAACCTGACTTTGATCTGAAGGAAAGGCCTTTTTGATAAATAATGTGTAATGAGGATCAATCTGAAAGGAAATGCTGGTTAGATTTGGCCTTTGGCTTGGAAGAGAGCAGTTTATCTAAAAACTCCTTGAAAACACGTGTTTGTCATGATTGTTAACTACATTAAGAGTCTCTAGGCAAAAAGGAGCCCCAAATTTAACTAATAATAAATGTGGATCTACTTTTTAATGCCAGTTGGTGTCACCTAATTGCAGTTCTTAAACAATAAGCATCTTGTCTGGATAAATAGCCGGTTCTTAGAAACATCCCTTTCCGACACAGGGTTCAGATGGATGTCCAACACACTGAAGCAAAAGATGTCTGATCCTCTTTTAGGGACAGTTTCTCATTACCTCAAGTCTATCTCAATCAGAACAGACCTGGAAGGGATTTTGGAGGTCTTCTAGTCTACCCCCTGCTCAAAAAGGAGACCCTATATCATTCCAGACAAGTGGCTGTCTAGTCTCTTCTTAAAAGCCTCCAGTGATGGAGCACCCACAACTTCTGAAGGCAAGCTGTTCCACTGGTCAATTATTCTCGCTGTTAAGAAGTTTCTCCTTAATTCCAAGTTCTTCTCTCCTTAATCAGTTTCCATCCATTGTTTCTCGTTTTGCCTTCTGGTGGTTTGGAAAATAATAATAATAATAATAATAATAATAATAATAATAATAATAATAATAATAATAATAATAATAATAATAATAATAATAGTAAAGTTGGAAGGGACCTTGGAGGTCATCTAGTCCAACCCCCTGCTCGGGCAGGAAACCCTACACCATTTCGGACAAATGGCTGTCCAGTCTCTTCTTAAAAACTTCCAGTGTTGGAGCATTTACTGCTTCTGGAGGCAAGCTGTTCCACTGATTAATTGTTCTCACTGTCAGGAAGTTTCTCCTTAGTTCTAGGTTGCTTCTCTCCTTGATTAGTTTCCACCCGTTGCTTCTTGTCCTGCCTTCAGGTGCTTTGGAAAATAGCTTGATTCCCTCTTCTTTATGGCAGCCCTGAGATATTGGAATACTGCTATCATGTCCCCCCTTGTCCTTCTCTTCGTTAAACTAGACATACCCAATTCTCGCAACCGTTCCTTATATGTTTTAGCCTCCAGTCCCCTAATCATCTTTGTTGCTCTTCTCTGTACTCTTTCTAGAGTCTCAACATCTTTTTTACATCGTGGTGACCAAAACTGGATGCAGTATTCAAAGTGTGGCCTTACCAAGGCATTGAAGAGTGGTATTAATACTTCGCGTGATCTTGATTCTATCCCTCTGTTAATGCAGCCTAGTACTGTGTTGGCCTTTTTGGCAGTTGCCGCACACTGCTGGCTCATATTTAACTGATTGTCTACTAGGACTCCGAGGTCCCTCTCACAGTTACTACTATTGAGCATGGTGCCACCTATGCTGTACTTCTGCATTTGGTTTTTCTTGCCTAAATGTAGAACCTTGCTTTTTTCACCATTGAATTTCATTTTGTTAGTTAGTGCCCAGTGTTCAAGTCTGTCCAGATCCTTCTGTATCTGAAGCCTGTCTTCTGGAGTGTTGGCTATTCCTGCCAGCTTGGTGTCAGCTGCAAATTTGATGAGTTCCCCATCTATCCCTTCATCCAAATCGTTGATGAAGATGTTGAAGAGTACTGGGCCCAGAACAGAGCCCTGGGGCACCCCACTACACACTTCCCTCCATATAGATGCAGTTCCATTGAGGACCACTCGCTGAGTACGGCCGGTCAGCCAGCTACGGATCCATCTGGTGGTGGTTCTGTCTACCCCACATTTTTCTATCTTGTCAAGTAGTAGGTTGTGATCTACTTTATCAAATGCCTTACTGAAGTCCAAGTAAATTATGTCCACAGCATTCCTCTGATCCACTAATTTTGTCACTTGGTCAAAGAATGCAATAAGATTTGTCTGGCATGATCTATTTTTGACAAACCCATGTTGGCTTTTAGTAATGACTTTGTTTGCCTCTAGGTGTTCGTTGATTCGTTGTTTGATTATCTTTTCCAGGATCTTCCCAGGTATTGAGGTCAGGCTGATAGGTCTGTAATTTCCTGGATCCATTTTTTTTCCTTTTTTGAGGATGGGAACTACATCAGCTCTTTTCCAGTCCTCTGGTAGTTCCCCTGTGTTCCAGGATCTTTGAAAAATATAGTTCAGTGGCTCCGATATCACATCTGCCAGTTCCTTGAGAACTCTGGGGTGTAATCCATCTGGTCCTGGCGATTTGAACTCATCTAGGCTGGACAGGTGCTCCCTAACCATTTTCTTGCCTATCTTAACTTGTGTTTCTGTTTTGTTTTTTATGGCACTATTTTTGATAGGTTGGTCTGTTTTTTCCCTTTGTGTAAAGACAGATGCAAAAAATGAGTTAAATAGTTCTGCTTTCTCCCTGTTGCTTGTCACCTTCTTGCCACTTCCACCCACTAATGGACCAATCATTTCCTTCACTTTTTTCTTGTTTTTTACATGTTGAAAGAAGCTTTTTTTGTTATTTTTGACTTTGGTCGCAAGCCTTAGTTCATTTTGAGCCTTGGCTTTCTTCACTTCATCTTTGCAGGCTCGGGCTATTTGCTGATATTCTGACTTAGTTATGTTCCCCTCTTTCCACTTTCTGTACTTGTCCTTTTTATCTTTCAATTTGTCAGAGAGTTCTTTATGCAGCCATGCTGGTTTCTTTTGAGAGCTGTTATTTTTCCTCTTTGTTGGTATTGTGCTAGACTGTGCTTTTATTATCTCATTTTTCAAAATTTCCCAAGCTTCTTGAGTTGTTTTCCCCTTGAGGATTCTCATCCATGGAATCCTTCCCAAGCCCTCTCTAAGTTTATTGAAATTAGCTCTCTTGAAGTCCAAGACTCTAGTTTGACTGTGTTCTATTGGTTGTGCTTCTATAATGTTGAATTCTAATATTGCATGATCACTTCCTCCCAGGGTTCCTATGGCTTCAACACCGTCTATCATTTCATCTCTGTTAGTGAGAATTAGATCCAAAATGGCTAATCCCCTAGTTCCCTTCTCTACTTTTTGGGAGACAAAGTTGTCTGCTAGGTTTGCCAGGAACCTGTTGATCTTCCACTTGGTGCGGAGTTTGTCTCCCAGTTGATGTCAGGGTAGTTAAAGTCCCCCATTACTATTGTGGTGTGCTTCCTACATACCTTAGTTAGCTGACTAGCAAAAAGTTCATCTATTTCCTCTGTTTGGTTGGGTGGTCTGTAGTATACACCTATGGCAATGTCATTTCCCCCCCCCTTTTATATTGACCCAAATGCATTCAAGACAGTTTTTATCATTGTTGTACTCTATTTCTGTGGAGATGTAGTTATTTCTTATATAGAGAGCAACTCCACCTCCTCTTTTATTTGGTCTGTTTCTTTTAAATAATTTAAATCCCTCTAGCTGTGTGTTCCATGTGTGGGTTTCATCCCACCATGTTTCCGTAATGGCAACAATATCGTATCTGCCCTCATTAACCTGAATTTCTAGTTCACCCTGTTTGCTGTTCATACTCTGTGCATTGGTGTATAAACATTTGAGTCCTTTGTGGGTGGCCCTGTGTTTCCTTTCTACATAACCTGTGTGGTGCCTGAGTTCCCCTATTGTCTTACCACCTATTTGGTTAGTGCACTTTATGTGGCACTCGCTATTAGAGGCTTCATTTTGATCGGTAGCAAGGTTGGTATTCTTGTCCACACACACATCTATGCTACATGCACTGATAGCCCTATAGTTTTTAAATTTCCGGGGACAGGGTTGTTCCGTATCAATTAACTCCCTGTCCCCGCTGTTTAGTTTAAATTTCCCTCCAGAAAATCTGTGAATTTATAGCTGAGTAACTCAGTCCCTTTTTTTGATGGATGCAAACCATCTCTTTTGTACATCTTTTGATTGGACCAGCTACTGACATCGTGACTAATATATCCGAAGCCTTCCCCTTTACACCACTCCTTTAGCCATATATTGAATTGTGCTATGCGCTGGCCTTTTCCGTTTTGCTCCTTATACCTTATACACTGGTAAGTTGGCTTCTTTGTGGCTGCCCCTCAAATACTGGAACACTGCTATCATGTCACCCCTAGTTCTTTTTTCTAGACTAGCCTTGTCATCTCACTACAGTTTGAGAAAGTAACCAATCAATTTTAGTTCTATTTAACTAAGATGGCAGCTATCTAAATTGAAGAAATGCAGCAATGAACAAATAACATCTCCTTTAAAGATGACAGCCCTAATTTTTAAAGAATTCTTTCTTTGTATCTTAAATAGGAGATTGTTTTGCATTACTTTCAAAGGCAAGTGGCTTTGCAATTATTTGAGTAGTTCACAAGAAACGCTTTCAAATACTGCTGGTCAGACATTACTTTTTTCTCACAGTTTCATTTGATTTTATTAAACCTAATAGGAAAAAAATAATAAATCTTTTAGAATAAATTTTATCCTAAATATGAATAGATCATCACTTTTTAAAATCATGGCTATATAAAGAATGGAGGATACAGCCATGCGGAGTAATCCACTGGTTTTTGCTTAATGTTTAAATCTTTAAATCTCCCTCCAGACGTTATTTAGAAAAACCCTTTATTACAATTTGATATGGCAGTAGCCAAAGCTTAATGTACAATCTTCCAGTTAATTGTATGTCTGACAATTCTTTGGAGCTAGTTAGAGATTTTATATCTTCCTAAGTGAAGTCCAGAGACTGCAGTGTTCATGTTCATGCCAGACAAATCTTATTGCATTCTTTGACCAAGTGACAAAATTAGTGGACCAGAGGAATGCTGTGGATATAATTTACTTGGACTTCAGTAAGGCATTTGACAAAGTAGACCACAACCTACTACTTGAGAAGAGAGAAAAATGTGGGTTAGACAGCATCACCACCAGATGGATCCATAGCTGGCTCACCGGCCATAATCAGCATGTGATCCTCAATGGAACCGCATCTACATGGAGGGAAGTGTGTAGTGGGGTGCCCCAGGGCTCTGTTCTGGGCCTAGTGCTCTTCAATATCTTCATCAATGATCTGGACGAGGGGATAGATGGGGAACTCATCAAATTTGCAGACGACACCAAGCTGGCAGGAATAGCCAATACTCAGAAGACGGCTTAGGATACAGGAGGATCTAGACAGACTTGAACACTGGGTGCTATCTAACAAAATGAAATTCAATGGTGAAAAAAGTACGATTCTACACTTAGGCAAGAAAAAACAAATGTACAGGTATAATATAGGGGGTACCTTGCTCAATAGTAGTAACTGTGAGAGGGATCTCAGAGTCCTAGTGGACAATCATTTAAATATGAGCCAGCAGTGTGCTTCAGGTGCCAAAAAAGCCAACATAGTGCTAAACTGCATTAACAGAGGGATAGAATCAAGATCACGTGAAGTATTAATACCACTTTACAATGCCTTAGTAAGGCCACACTTGGAATACCGCATCCAGTTTTGATCACCGTGATGTAAAAAATATTTTGAGACTCTAGAAAGAGTACAAAGAGAAGAGCAACAAAGATGATCAGGAGACTAGAGGCTAAAACAAATAAGGAACGGTTTCTGGAATTGGGTATGTCTAGTTTAACAAAGAGAAGGACAAGGGGGGACATGATAGCAGTGTTCCAATATCTCAGGGGCTGCCAGAAAGAAGAGGGAGTCAAGCTATTTTCCAAAGCACCTGAAGGCAGGACAAGAAGCAACGGATGGAAACTAATCAAGGAGAGAAGCAACCTAGAACTAAGGAGAAACTTCCTGACAGTTAGAACAATTAAGCAGTGGAACAAACTGCCTCTAGAAGTGATGAATGCGCCAATACTGGAAGTTTTTAAGAAGAAACTGGACAGCCATTTGTCCGAAATGGTATAGGGTTTCCTGCCTGAGTAGGGGGTTAGATTAGATGACCTTCAAGGTCCCTTCCAACTTTATCATTATTATTATTACCCTAATTTTCCATGTATGGTGAGTCCTAAAATACATACTTTGGCATTCTTTGTTTTTCTGCTTAGTCTCTGCCTCAATCCAAATGTGTGGAAAGTTGTCATCCTGGATTTGTCAAGTGGGCTCGGGAAGGAGAGCCAGTTTGCTGCTATGATTGTGTCCCTTGTCTGCAGGGGACTATCTCCACTCAGGAAGGTGGGTGACACCAGAGGATTCATTCATTGCATTTTGTACTGGATTCGTTCATTGCATTTTGATCAATGTGCATTTAAAAAGACAAATCTAAGCTTGACTATTTTGTTCTGGTTCTTTCTTTTCAACACAAACAATTTCTTACATAATGGGAGAAATAAGAAAGGATCTTGAAGGATGAGCTTGGAAGAGATAGAAGGACCTGGTAGATTGGGCAATGTGAGTTCTGTCAGAGGAAATCTCTCTTCTGCTTTTCAGTTTAATACTGTACTTTCATGTTTGCCTTTTTTAAGAACGCTGAATTCTTTGACCTTTCAGCAATGGTTTCGGTGAACAGCTCTATATCAGTCAAACAGTCAACTTTTACTAAGATGATATAAAAATTTGATTTGGAAGACCAAATCAGAGCCAATGAAATTGCGGAACAAGAGAAAAGCAACTGGATTGCTCACAATAAAATCCATCAAGAGAGAATTAGTATGAGAGAAGAGATATAAACTATCATTATAAGTACTAAAATCTGCTTCTTTTCTCTCCAAAGCTTTAATTGTCCATGTTATGGATTAAGAGGTAAAACACAAATATAGTTTTAGACTAGTTCAACAGTTTTAGATTCAGCATAACTACCACCATGGATTGTTACCTAGTAGGATTGCGGTAGTTCTTTTTCGAATTTTCTTGGTTATTAAATAGTGAAATACAAACAACTACAATACCAACAAGAAAGGAATATAGTAGTGGTTCCAAAAGGAATAAAAGCCTTACATACAGTGTCAGGATTAAAAGGAATCAGACCTAAGAGAAAAGAGGGGGAAAAGAGATTAATTAAAAAAAAAATAATGCACATAATATCCATTTATACCACTGTGGAGCTCATTCAGTCTTTACGTTTGCTATTCAATCTAGAATGGAAATACTGTATATGCCGCCGTATTAGGCGACCCGGCGTATAAGACGACCCCCGTCTTTATAGCCGGGCCGCATTCCTAGAACGTTGCCTTATACGCCGGAAACTACCAGTATTTCTGGCGTATAAGATGACTCGGCGTATAAGACGACCCCTGTCTTTGGCGCCGATTTCAGCGCTCGCGGAAGTCGTCTTATACGCCGGCATTTACGGTACTTTGTTTCATCTTCCCATTTTTAGAATCATTTAAAGACTGCCAAAACAAATTAAAGACTGAATTTGTCTTCTTGAAATATTTCATGAATTAAGCTTCTTTTGCGTTTACATAAAATTATTTTATCCATTTATTTCCTAAATTTACATTGCTGCCCATCTCATACAAGCTTACTCTGTGCAGCATACAATAAAACCAACAATAAAATATTTTGCAAAACAAGGTTAAAATAATGAAACATGATGCAACCAGCTCAAGAGTTCCTGTTACCGGGGGATCCCCAGGCCTATTGAAAGAGCAACATTTTAAGGGATTTCCAGCAGGCCTAAGGGTTGGAGCTAATCTCAATTTGTGGGCAATTAATGCCTTTTTCCAGAAATGGGTGTTATCACCAACTATCCTGAAGAGGGCAGTAGTGTGTCCTTTTCTCAAGCATGTGGATTCAGCTGTGTTAGACAACTTTCATTCAGTATTCAACATTTTTAGGGAAGTTTGTTGAAAGCATGATTATAATAATAATAATAATAAAGTTGGAAGGGACCTTGGAGGTCATCTAGTCCAACCCCCTGCTCAGCCAGGAAACCCTATACCATTTTGGACAAATGGCTGTCCAGTTTCTTCTTAAAAACTTCCAGTGTTGGTGCACTTACCGCTTCTGGAGGCAGATTTTCCACTGGTTAATTGTTCTAACTGTCAGGAAGTTTCTCCTTAGTTCTAGGTTGCTTCTCTCTTTGGTTAGTTTCCATCCATTGCTTCTTGTCCTGCCTTCAGGCACTTTGGAAAATAGTTTGACTCCCTCTTCTTTGTGGTAGCCCCTGAGATATTGGAACACAGCTATCATGTCCCCCCTCGTCCTTCTCTTTGTTATTCAGGTACAGTACCAAGGCAGATAGTTGAGGTATAGTAGTGAGACAGAACATGTTTCTGTTGCACGTGACCTCTGGATAGGTGTGGTGTAACTTTCCTGGCCCTTCTAGATTGGTACTATCAAACATGGTATCCTTCTGGGTCAACTTGTGGTAGTGGAAGGCAATATTTTTCCTTTCTCAGAAGGTTTCAGTTAGTGTTATTGGAGGTTCTCTCCTTTTCTTCTTAAAATTTACATGAAACTGCAAGGTGAGGACATTTGCTGCCACATGGTGTGGTATTATCAGTAACCCACCCAGGGCTGAGCAGCAATCCCTTAAGTCAGTGTTTCTCAACCTTGACAATTTTAAGGCATGTGGACTTCAATTCCCAGAATACCACAGCCAGCAATGCTGGCTGTGGAATTCTGGGGGTTGAAGTCCACATGCCTTAAAATTGTCAAGGTTGAGAAACACTGCCTTAAGTGGACCTGGCAAAATACCTGGAGGTTAGATGGATCTTGAGGGGAGGATCTGATTTCAACCTAACCTAGCAAGATGAAGTGGCTTTTTGTTTTTTGGCCCCCAAAAGACTATGAAAAATTATCCCTGACTTTGGGTGGGATGTTACTTACCCGGATGGAGGTGGATCACAAGTTGGAGTCTTCCTAAGGTCACAGTTATTGTTGAATGAGCAGGTGGCAGCCATGGCTAGAGGGGGCTTCACACACATTCCTCTTATGTACCAACTGTACTCTTTCCTACTGCAAAGTCCTCTACATGAAGTTCCTTTTGAAGACCACCTGAAATATATAAATAGTCCAGAATGCAACAACATTGTTGGCTGCTGCTGCATTCTACCATATTATACTCCTATTATAGAAGCTGCACAGGCCTCCCCATTTTCTTTCCAAATGCAATTAGTTCACCTTTAATGCCATATATAGTATAGGACTAGCACTTCTGTTGCTTGATGATATCTGCTTATCTAACCAAAGCTGATATAACAGCCACACTCCAGGTCTGTTCTCTAAAACCTTGCCATCTTATGGGTCCTTGGAAGCCTTCCTTTTATGTTGCAACTCATGCCCTATGGACCACACTCCTATTTGATATCCAACAGCAACCCCATCCTCCTTAACTTCTGATTCTCATCCTAAATGTTGGGATAAGGTGAGGTTGGTACAGAATAAGAATGTGGTGGGTTGCATCATGAAAGTTGGTTGTGGCTCTAGGTATTTCATTTTTTTCCCTTTTTGCTGTTATTATTGTTTTTAAAATTATATACATTGGGGCTGGGGTTGTGTTTTAAACTTCCCAAGGTTTGGTTTATCATGGCTGGTGAGAAATAAGTTCATCCATATTTACCATTTCCTATGGCATTCTTGTCTCTCAAAAATGTAAAAGGAAAGGCTATAAAATAAATATTACTGTCTGTTTTCTCAGATACTGAAAAATGCACCAAGTGCCCAGATGATCAATATCCAAATGAGAATCGAGTCCATTGTATTCCCAAAAGAATAACCTTTCTGTCCTATGATGAACACCTTGGCATCATCCTGGTCTCTTTTGCCCTACTCTTGTTCCTAACCACCGGCTTTGTTTTAATTATATTCTTTCAATACTTAGAAACTTCCATTGTCAAAGCCAACAACCGGGACCTCTCCTTCATCCTCCTGGTTTCCCTCCTGCTTTGCTTCTTGTCTTCCTTTTTCTTCATTGGACAACCAAGCAAAGTCACCTGTCTTCTCCAACAAACCGTGTTCAGCATTGTCTTCTCAGTAGCTGTGTCTTCTGTGTTGGCCAAATCAGTCATGGTGGTGCTGGCCTTCCTGGTCACGAAACCAGGGAATAGAGTGAAGAGATGGTTGGGGAAAAGTTTGGCCAACTCCATCATCCTTTCTTGTTCTGGTGTCCAAATTTTCATCTGCTCCATCTGGCTGGGAGTTTCTCCCCCATTTCCTGACTCTGACCTGCACTCTCAGCCTGGAGAGATCATCCTTCAATGCAATGAAGGGTCTGTCGCTATGTTTTATATTGTTCTCAGCTATATGGGTTTCCTAGCAGCCATTTGCTTCATTGTAGCTTTCCTGGCCAGAAACCTGCCTGGGGCCTTCAATGAAGCCAAGCTGATCACCTTCAGCATGCTGGTCTTCTGCAGTGTCTGGGTCACCTTCTTGCCCACTTACCTGAGTACCAAAGGAAAGTCCATGGTAGTTGTGCAGGTTTTCTCCATTTTGGCTTCCAGTGCTGGTTTACTGGGCTGCATCTTCTTCCCCAAGTGCTACATTATCATCCTGAGGCCAGATCTAAACACTAAAGAACATCTAATCATAAAAGTAGGAAAGTGACAGAAAAGTGGTTTCTTTTTTTTTTTAAATGTCCTCATGAAGTTTTATTATTTTTAGTATAGGTCTCCCATCATCTTTTTCAAACATACTACAGCCCTGAATTTCTACGATGGTCTAGAGAAAATTTATATTATATAACAATGTTGCAGGGCATGATATATAGATATATGATAGATAGGTAGATAGGTAGATAGGTAGATAGATAGATAGATAGATAGATAGATAGATAGATAGATAGATAGATAGATAGATAGATAGACAGACAGACAGAGATAAGGGAAAGAGAGAGAGGGAGAGAGGGAGAGAGAGAGAGAGAGAGAAAGAAAGAAAGGAAGGAAGGAAGGAAGGGAGGGAGGGAGGGAGGAAGGAAGAAAGAAAGGAAGAAAGAAAGAAAGAAAGAAAGAAAGAAAGAAAGAAAGAAAGAAAGAAAGAAAGAAAGAAGAGATCATATCATATTTTATTTCATCAGATGACCCTTATTTATATTAGGAGTAGTTGTTATTATTCAGAGTTGCAATTTCTTTTGCTTGTTGTTCTTGTCTCTATGATTTCAGGAATTTCTGCACCCCCTACCAAACATTAATAAAGTCAAAGGTCATTCATATAATCCAATTTTGATAATTTTCATTGTCTAATCCAGATTCTTTCCTATCTATATCTCTAGGTTTTGCCTGTTTCTCTGTGTAATGACCCTTGTTCCCCTGGTTACTGGAACAAAAGGGCTGAAGGGAGAGTGTTCTGTTGTTATGATTGTGTTCCATGTTCAGAGGGGAAGATTTCAAATCAAATTTGTATTTTCACCATATTTTTGTATTAGACCATTAATTTTTCATTAAACACATTCCTTATATAGGCTTCAAATAAAGGTAACGTCCTAGATGTGTATTTGTGGTTTCTTAAGCTCCTAACTGTTAATTATTTATTGCATTTATTATTGGGTTTCCATTCTTCCTTTTTTAAATCTCTTTCACAATTAAGATTATTTAAAACTAAAGGAAAAATATGAAAAGTGTAAGACTAATCAAAATCCAAAAGAATAATCAAACAGTAAAATAAATGATTTAATAATTAACATTATGATTATTTATTTGCCACTTATATCGCTATGGTGGAACTGCTCTAAACAGCTTAACAGTGATGAAAAGGAAGGAATAAAAAGAGTGTAAACAGAATAGAAGATAACAGAACCATAAAATAAACAATGAAAAAGAACACAGCAAGAATACATTAATATGATCACCAAAAAAGATGGAGAGCTGGAGAGCAAAGAATAAGGGGGTGGCTGTGGAGTCTGCCATGAATCCAGAAGCTACCTCCAGCATGACCCAGGCCAACCAGCACAGCCAGGTGTTCGGCTCTTGTGGAAGGATAGGAGGATGGGTCAGATCTTACTTTAGAGGGTAAGATGTTCCAAAGCTCCTCCACTTTATTATTTATTTATTTATTTATTTATGAGACTTATATACTGCTTTAAGTGCAAGCACTCTCTAAGCGGTGTACACCAGTAAGCAATGTATAAATATATATTTACATTGCCCCCAACAATCTGGTCCTCATTTTACCTACCCTGGAAGGATGGAAGTCTGAGTCAACCTTGAGCCGGTGAGATTTGAACCGCTGACCTGCTGAACACAGTCAGCTAAAGTGGCCTGCAGTACTGCACTCTAACTGCTGCGCCACCTCGGCTTCTTTCTTAACAAGCAGTGTCTTCAGCTGCTTCACTTTTTTTAGTTAGCAAGTTTCTCTGTCTGCAACTTCTGTGCAACCTCCAGCATGGTGAGTTCCTTGCTGTTGGGTGTTTAAAAGGAAGGGGGTAGAGTGGGGAATGAGGAGGACTATTGATGATGTGTTCTCATCTCCCCACTTCTGGCATGAGAGGCTGGAACCAGGAAATAGACGTGCTGCCTTTGGCTTCCCTCCCGGGATGGAGATTTTAACCAGGACAGTCTCACCAGCCTAATTTGCCCAACAGTGTTAGGTTTGATGAATGGGGTTTTTTTGACTCTCCCAAAAAGAAGTATTTTACCCCAGAAGAGAAGAGAAAGTTATATGGCATGCAGGGCAGCCTACCATCCCCACTACTACTCAGATCTCCATTTTGTTGTGCCAATTTACTTTTTCTGGGATGGAACCTTTGATGGAGATAGCAGCATTTGGAAGAGACAGTTAAGGTCTCTCTGCTTGTGACAGTAACAGGGAAAATTGGGAAAGAATTTTTGAGGGAAGAAATTGGAAGTGGTTTAAAGGAGGGAACTTGAAGATCCTTGTGAGGAATGTTTTTCAAGGAAGGGAGAAATCCCATGGATGGCAATGGACGCCGGTGATTCAGAAAAGGAGGAAAGACAGAACAATTCCTGTCTCCTCTCTCCAAGTCTCTGGTTAAAATGAAAGTGAATGAGAAAGATTATTATTTTTTGTAGCAGTTTTAGCATTGAAAATGTTCTCTTGTTGGAGCAATGACGTTGTGCATGTAAGGATGGACTGCTGGGTTAGGATTTTGCAATGGTGCTGCTGCAAGTTAAAGAATGTTTTTCCAGGGAGTTGAATTAAAAGATTGAATCCCCCTCACCTGGGGAAAGGGGCAAAAACAGCACTCCCTCTCTCCCAGAAGCAGCAAAAATCATGGGAATTGAAGACTATGAACTGCTGGAGAAATCCCACCTTGTAGCAGTTAAAGAGGTGAATGTAGTTGTCTCTCTCTTCTTCCATTCCTTCTGTAAGGACCTGCCTCTACTAGATTATGAGCCGAGGTGGCGCAGCAGTTAGAGTGCAGTACTGCAGGCCACTTTAGCTGACTGTGTTCAGCAGGTCAGCGGTTCAAATCTCACCGGCTCAAGGTTGACTCAGCCTTCCATCCTTCCGGGGTAGGTAAAATGAGGACCCAGATTGTTGGGGGCAATGTAAATATATATATATATATATATATATATATATATATATATATATATATATACACACACATTGCTTACTGGTGTACACCGCTTAGAGAGTGCTTGCACTTAAAGCAGTATATAAGTCTCATAAATAAATAAATAAATAAATAAATAAATAAATAAATAAATCTCCCAAGAAAGCAGAACTCTTGAAACAGGCACTGTCTCAAAAGGAACTCTTTTAATGTGTGCTCTTGTAACATCTGGGACAGCCAATTGCCGTGGGAAAAGTAGAGGTTAAACCACTTCTGCCTTCATACTATTATATTGTGGCATTCGTGACAGTGCATCTGCTAGGACGTTCTTCCCCCCAGGCAGATAGTGAATGGAGAAATTAAAATGATGAAAGTGCTGAGCCTGGCCCACTTGCTTAGGAGACAACCTCTTGGGGGTTTTCAGAGCTTCCAGGTTCTTATGATCTGTCCCAAACCTGGAAAGGGATTTTGCTTCCTTCTAAGAAATGTCTCCAGGTTAAGAGGGCCCATCTCACTGGGTATGCTTCCTTTTCCCAAGCAGCCCACTGTTGTTCGGTCTCTGACAGTTTTTTGGGTGTGTAAGCACAGGGCTGTAATTGGTCCTGCTGGGTTTTCTGCAATAGCATCGCCCCCACTGCTACATCACTAGTGTCTACCTGAATCTCAAACGGCTTTTTCCGGGTCTGGGTGTTTCAATACCAGTTCCGTGGAAAAAAGTCTCTTAAGTTTCTCAAATGTGGCTTGGATTCAGCTGTCCATTTCAGTGGCTGGCCAGGTTTCAGTTTACTCCCTTCCTTAGTTTTCAATAAGTTCGTGATAGGGAATGTGACCTGAGCAAACGCAAGGATAAATTGCCTGTAAAAGTTGTCAAACTTCTCTGGGTCCATCTCTACCCCCTCATGAGAAACGCAGTAGCCCAGATAGTCAATTCTATTTTTATGGAATTCACATTTCAAGAGCTTGGTGTACAGTTTAGCAGCACAGACTTTTTCAAAACGGCCCTGACTAATTTCACGTGTTCTGCCTTGTTTTTGGCGTAAATCAGGATATCAACCAAATACACCTTAACACCCTTATATAGATGCTCCTGGAGGACCTCAATTATCAGTTGCATGAACACTTCCCCTCCATTCTCTGCTGGATACTACTCAGAGGCCAAAAGACTTTAACCAGGTCACCCACATCTCTTTGGAAGAAGGATCAGGCATGCAGATTAAGGGGTGAAGGACAGAGGCTTTTTTCAAAACCTTAATCTGCATTCAGACTACCCAACAAACTCAAGTCAAAAGGAGTTCCAATATGACCACCTCTCTTCCCGTGAAAGTCCTCTCATATATTTGTCAATTTCCCAGTGCACGGGATGACCATTGAGTTTTATTATTTCAATTGCTTCATATATGTAATCACACCTGGTCTACACCAGTGTTTCATAAACCAGCAGGAACCTCTTGTGGATTCTTCTTCAAGATTCCTTAAGTTTACAAATTTCCCATTTGCCTTCGTCCCAGAGATTCTAACATTTCTTGTTCAGATTTACTTATCTGTATGATCTCTGTCCACATGTGGAATTGGAAGGTATTTATGGCTGGCCTTCCCCTTTCCTTCCCTGTGTTGATTACTGTAGTCCTTGGATTCATGTCTTAGGATGTTTCTCTTCCAATGGAGAAGGAACAGCTATTTAGGATTCCTTTCAATTTCACACACTGCCTTTCTTTCACAGCCTCTGGAGGCAGGAGTGGAGGCAGTAGGCCAACTCCCAGCCTTGGCCCACAGCAGGCTTATCTGTTCATTTGAAAAACATTCATTCACTAATCACAGTCTGCCTGGGCTCTGTTTTGCAGTTCCCTCCCTGCAAAGTATCTGCTTAGGAAATTCATACCTTAAGAAATAGGAAAAAGGCAGTTTAAACAGAGCCTCGGAGTCAGTCTTTGCTTGACATAGAAAGGTCACTCTCACCCCTCCTAAGCTAAATTCTGCCTTGATTTCTGGACATCTCCAGTCATTACTGAGATGGGATGTGAGCATGAAACCATAA